TTTTCACTGAATGTTTATATAGGTATTACTTATACACCATAAATTATCAAAAACCATTATCTTTTAGACTAATAAAAAATATGGGATTAAAATTCTTTATTTTTATTAAAAAATACCTATGTTTTACACAACAGTTCTTACTGTAGTGTAGTATTTTCAATAATATGCCAATATACACAGTAAAAAACATAAATATAATAGAAGTACATACTAGTTTTCCAAGTTTTCCAATTTCTTCTGGGATTTCATGTAGTTTTACCCTATTTAAGTTTAGCCATTGAACACTTGACATTGACATAACAGCAGAAGGAAATTTTGATGTCTAAAAAAAATTTTTTTCACAGTAATAAAACAAGTACAATTACAATATTTCATAACAATTAATACTTTTTAAAGGTACAATTATACATAAATTGTTAATATTTGTTAATATCACATATACAGTTTAACCTWGCTWAARCGAAATTAATAGGTRTCCAATTTCATTAATCTTAACAGAGGTTACGGGATTCACATTCATTATATTTTTGAATCGGACCTAATTGTCCATATTACTTAMGTATATTAATTTTTATTTTAATAATACCACAACTAGCAACATTAATGTCTAATGATTGATATAAACATCAATATAAATTAATGTTAATTATTAAATAAAATAATAGAATATACTTACTCTAAAATCATTGTTACTGAAATCTATGCCTCGTACAAAAGGCAATACGCCAGTATTGGCCATTATGTAATTGTGTAATATCGTTGGTAAGATATACAGTAGTACAAAACCGTATAAAATGTTATACACAAATTTACTTCACATAATTAGTATATTTATTTCTAATAAGTTCACTAATTTATTAGTCACTKATCAACTGACTSAAATGTTGAGCAAACTGTAATAGTACAATACTTMGATTAACTTTTTTGTGATGTAAATAATAAGAATATAATAAAATAATTTAATTATGCATTCTGTTATTGTTTTATTATTTTCATCAATGAATTACATTTCATAAAATATTTATAACAAAATGTTTTAAAAACGATACTTACAACACAGTACAATTAACTATACTCAATATTCAATACTCATAATTATTTATTAKCATATAAAATATCATTATTAGTCAACAGCATTAACCATTGTTCTGCAGTTATTTGAGTTATTACTTTATTAGTTGAACATCTATTATTATTTATTTATTTATTTATTATTATTATTATGCCC